TTGGCTGAACATGGTATTTAAGACGAAAATTTCTGCCATTGTGTTGAAAAACACAGTGTCCCTGCTTTCTCCCATGTATACATGTTATTAAATGGTATTATTTTCTCCTGCTAACCTGTCTTGTTAATTATTTGGCCAGCCATAAGAACCTTAAGGAAAAGGGCACAGGGAGATTCTCCCTCTTCCCCCGACAATCCCCAGACTTCGTCTTGAGTCACAGATACAACAGTCTCCTCCATACTCAGGCTGGAAGAAGATTCAAGGATTTGCTCTTTTCAAGAAATAAAAGTAGAGAAGAAGATAAACTCTTCCAACCTCACAAATCAAGGAGGTATAGAGAGGCAGGATGGAAGGAAGAGAGTTTTAATGAGTCCAGGATAGACATGTGTAGGAAGGTAATAGAAAAGAAAAGCTAGGGGCCGGCCCCGTGGCATAGCAGTTAAGTTCGCACAAGCCGCTGCTGGGGGCCCCGGTTGGGATCCCGGGTGTGCACCGATGCACCACTTGTCAGGCCATGCTGTGGTGGCGTCCCATATAAAGTGGAGGAAGATAGGCACAGATGTTAGCCCAGGGCCAGTCTTCCTCAGCAAAAAGAGGAAGATTGGCATGGATGTTAGTTCAGGGCTGATCTACTTCACAAAAAAAAAAAAAAGCTAGTAAAAATCAAATTGCCCTGCAGAGATCACAACTGAGAGGGATAAGAGAAAACCCCAGTATCCCACACTGTGGATCCACCTCTTGACCTCTCAGAGCCTCAGTCTTCTCATCTTTAAAATTAGAATAATATCTACCTGAGTTTTTGCAAGGATTAAAGAAGACTATACATGAAACCGATGCAATATCCTGCCTGCCACATTTAGTAACTTGGCAAATGCTGGTACCCCTCTCCTTCCAGTCTCTAGCAGAAGGAAGAAAGGACTCCTTGAGGAGATGAATCAGGAGTCACTGTAAAAAGCTGGGATCTCTTTCGGAATCCAAGGGGCACAGGGCCCTGAGATTCAGAAAGAAATAATACAGCCTGGAGAAATGATTTCCCCGTGACTGTGTTGTTCTCCCAGTGGGGAGTGTTTTGATAGAAGCGAGGAGTCCACCAGAGCACCCTGTTGGGATCAAGCCTGTCTTTCCCTAAAAAAATTAGTAATTGCAAAAATCCTCAACAAAATACTAGCAAATCGCATACAACAATACGTTAAAAAGATTATACACCATGATCAAGTGGGATTTATTCCAGGGATGCAGGG